AAGTTTCTGTTTTTTGACGATTAGGCCTAAAAAATTTTTTTGCAGATCAAACTTGTCAACTGCAGTGCCAAATTTTCTGATTAATTAATTTCCTAGGGGCTAACAACTCCTTTAGTCCCCCCCCCTACTTAAGACGGCCCTGGTAGCATCACCATGTGATCTTTTCCGTAATAAAATTTGCGAAGTGAATTTTCACTTTCACAGAGTTTTTACTTTTTAAAATAATTTTTTAATTAAAAGTTATCAAGACGGTTTTATTAACAAAATTAAAATATGTTAAAAACAGACAAAGTTCTCATTAAATCATTTAATAGATTTAATTTTATTTTAAACACAATTAAACAATCGTACAGTGATAACATTCAAACTGTAGATGATTAAAAATGTTGCTCGGTTTACCGAAAATTTACAAGACCAAGCTACAAGTAACTAAAACATCAACAACTATTGATGCTTTTTTGAATTCAAAGAACGTATTCCCATCCAAAATTGGTAATTTGTGAAAAGTATATTTGAATTTACAATTGCCAGATGCAAATCTGGCAATTGTAAATTCAAAGAGTTTTTTTTTGCGCTTTAACGTTTTAAAACCTTTTACTTCAGTCTATAATTATTCTGGCACGCTTACTATTTCTACAAGTTCACAAACTCATTATAAACTTCATCAATATTACTAGGCAAAAAAAGAGGCGTTAAAGTACCATAAATTGAATGAGGCTTACCTCCTGAGACTAAAAATCTGAAAATACCTGAAAAAAAAACAATTATCCCAGCAAACACAAAACGTTCAACGAAGTTGCGAACGTTAAAGAACGTTCTACGAACGTTCATAGAACGTGCTCAAACATTCGCAACGTTCTTCGAACGTTTTGTGTTTGCTGGGTATGCCATTTACACATTTTGAAAAATAAAAATGCATGAAATGAAACCCGTCAAAATTGATAAAAGATCTATGGTTTCTGAAGAGCTGCACAAAATAAAAAAGAAATTTAAACAGGAAAAAACAAACTCAAAATTCAGTATTCACTGTTTCAAAAACATCTTTCTTATGCAACAAAACTAGCAAAGTTATAAATACAATATTTACCAATGCAACACAACCACGAAAAAATTAAGTTGTCAAAAAAAATAAAATAATAAATTTCGAACTAATCTAAAAGTACGAATATTATGAGTGCATCTGTGGCTGGTTTTGGTTTACTGCAGTGGTCTAACAAGATGTAGAATGATTTAAAAATAAATTTTATGCATACACTTGTTCTCTCTGAGCATTTTTTTTGGCCGAAAAACATTTTTTAGTGTTTTGTGCCAGTGACAGATGCATTAACATTATTTATTGTACCAAATAAAAAGATAAGTTAATTTAAATTTCATCAAAAAGTTTATATGTAAAACACAAAAAAAGTATCTAGTAAATAAATAATTTTTAGTTAATTTGAAAAAATATATACATATTTTTTAAATTTAAGTATGCACGCTTTTTATAGCTTTTAAATAAATAAAGTTTTCGAAAATGTTTAATTTGATTTCATTATAAAATTTTCAATATGACTTAAAACCATATGCCTTGCAGAAAAGAAATTTTTTTCATGAAATATTCAAAACATAGACTAATTTTTTTTTAAATTCAAAAACACGTATGTTTAAAATGTTTACCGCACGACCAAATTTTTTCTGGGCTAATAACATTTTTTAGTTATTTTAATATATTCCTATGTATTTTATCATTAAACTGTTAATTTTTAACTTCTATATTTGAATTTTTCACCTCAATATTTACTAAGGTATCAAAACTTGGTTTTCATTTTCAGATTTGATTTTGTAAAGATAAATGTAAACTTCAATGTGACGAAAACAGATCAGAACAATAAATCAAAATTTAAAAGGTCATATAAAATAGACCCCGAGAAGTTAGACCTCTCAAGGCTACCTCTCAAGGTATCTTTGATAAGATGGATAAACTGTCATGTATAAAAAACTGTAAAAAAAAAAGGTTTCAAAAGTTACAAAAGTTATTGATTTTAAATTATGCAGACTTTGAACAAAAAAACTAAATAACTGAGCATTAGAAAAAATTAGAACTAAAATTTAATAAACTCAACAAAGTAACTTCGACATTAAATTGGAAGGCATTTTGTTTTCTGCAATAAAGTTAACTTTAAATTTTATAAATCTTGATAAATATTATTTTTAAAAATTTCAATTTTTTTGTAATTTTTAATATTTATATTTACATTAGATATAAAAAGATTCCTCATTATTTATAATGTAACTTTTTAATGTATTTATAATGATCTAGAACTTTTGTGTTTAAAAAGAAAACTAACAACATTTTAATTATAAAATTGATAGATGATAAACTTGATGATAAAATTAAGATTCTATAATAGAAAGATTCTAAGCTAAGATTCTATAATAGAAAGTCTAATTTTTTTTTTAAAATTGAATTTTTTGCAAAAGAGATATTCTTATGTAAGTTTAATTATTTTTCACGTGGAATAATTTTTTTAACAGTTTATTTATACTTTTTACAATATTGACAATTTTATACAAGTAGATTTGATATTTTTTGTAGCAACGACCTTAGCTACCATTATTTATTTATTTTTATTAGTTTAAAAGTCCTTGAAAACCTTATGATATAAATCACTTTTGCTTTTTTAATATTTTCTTAGTAATTGTTTTTAACTGTCTAATAATAAATTGAAATTATTTAAAATTTAATTTAAATTATAGTTAAATAATAAAGTTAAAATATGAAAAATCTTCTAAATAACACAAGAAAGGATGTTAGTGGTCGTGGTTGTAGAAAATCGATAAATATTGTGAATAATAAATGTTATGTCAATGTATATAAAACAAAATTTTTTTGATAAAAAAGAATAATTGACGAACAACTAATAATTCAATTATTAATTATTTATTTGAATTAATATGTACAAATGATGGAAAGATTTATATAATGAAAAAGTCAATAGGTACTATTCTTTATTATTGCACAAATTTTTCAAACTCAGTGTAATTTACCAATGTGAATGTTTCCTATATGAAAAAGAACTTTTAAAGAACTTTTAAATGCAGAGCTTCTGAGCAAGTGCATACATGGAAGAACACAAAATTCTAATGGTTGCCTTAATAATATCTTCTGAATGAAATACCCTAAACAAGTATTTGTCGAACGATCAGATTTATAGTTATGTGTTAAAATTACTTTAATTCAATAAAGATTGCTAAACTATTTAAAAAGCTTGGAATTTTTGGAAGACTTGGAAGCTTGGAACAGAGCGGTGTCTGTTTTAACATTATTTCTGATTAAGTTAACCGATGCAATACTCAAAATTCAAATAATAAAGCATCAGATAAAATAAATGCTAATTGAAAACGACTAAAAGCTGAACAGAAGGAGTTATTAGATAATGAGTTACATGAAGAGGGAAATAAAAGTTATTTTTAAGGAAGATTTTAGTTAAAAAATAAATTTTAATTCTTTATTTTTGATTTTGTAGCATATCGTTTTCTAAGGAAATATTAGGACGACAAACATAATAACTTAAGAAATACTAGTGGTAACTGCTTGATACTTTCAAGATTAATTCATCAAATGTACTGCCAATAGCTGAGTTTTTATATATATATTGTACTTGTAAGTACTTTTTTTAAATTAAGATCAGAGGCTTGATAAAATTTAAAAAAATATATAGTTGTTTTGAAGCATAACCTTAAGTGGAAGCACGTTTTTTTATTAGAAAAAACTCACATACTAGATACAGGTAGCATCCATAAGTATACCAAGTTTGAAAGTAAAAAGAGCTTTTACTTAGGAGTAATTGTGTTTAAAGTGAACCCAAAATTTTAGAGGTTTTGGAGGGTATTTTCACTAAATATAACCCTTTAGAAGGTCATTGATAAATTTTTGGAAAGGTAAAAAAACTTTTTTTGTTACATTCTGTCTTTCAAAGAAATTAAATTTTTATAAATAAAAACTTACTTTGATTATACAGGTACCATCTTAATGACTAAAATAATGTTAAAGTTTCTGAAATAAATAAAGTATTATGGTTTATTAAATTATTACAAATATTAAAAAAAAATCAGAAAGAATTTACAATTTTAATTCTCTTAGAGAATTATACTTTTGTGGAAATATCATCGGTATTTGTTGCCACTTCTACTATTACTAAAAGAAGTTAAGGACCTTAAAAGTGTTGAGATTAGAACAGATGAGGAATTTATTTAAAAAATTGATGTTTTATCTCGTGATTTTGTCGGTATCCTTTCGTTGGAGTGTTAAATATATGGTGGCTGTACTAATTAGCGCGTTAGTTTGGACGATATAGTTCACATAGATATAGATCACAACTAAATTCACAAGAAGAGAGTTTTATATTTTCGTGCTAATGGTTTAATCATAGATAATTGGCAAAAATGGTTCAGCATCAATTCTTAAAGGATACCGTAAACTTTTTCAAAGAAAGCTTTGAGTTATGGACTTAAATAAAGTATAAACAAAGGTGGCTAAGATTTCAAATCAAATTTATTTTTGCTTCTTTGGTGGTGTTGATGTTCCTTTTGTAATCTTGTCATAGATATATCGTCATCTATTAAAAAGATTTTTTACTTTTGTGTAAAAAACTTGTATTCTTTCCAGTGTTATGTAAACATGTAAATGATGACAAAAAATGTTAGAGTACTTTGTTACGAAAACATTTCAGTAATTGCCAAAAACAAAAAGTGGGAATTGAATTGCAGACCATTTTATTCTGAAGTCTATAACCTATGCAACGCGGTCACAACAGCAACATTATGGTAATAGTACAGTAATAATAAGGGTGCTTTTTTAAAACAATTTAAAAAAAAAACTTACGGTTTTTTAAAAATAGTACAAACCCATTTAACACCAGAATGACGTAAATCTTGAACAACAAATACAAGTTATGTGTTTGTGTTCACTTAATATACACTTAAGAACTTGAAAAAAAAAACATAAAAAATATGACAACTGTCAATAAATAAATTTATTAATTTCCCAATATTAAATTGCTTTAAGCATAAATATTTTTCCATCAACAGATGGACGATAACAACATCTGTTAGAACAGATATCCTAGCATTAACAACTAAAAATCGTAACTTTATATCAACAAAAAGCTGAACTAAAAGTATTAAACACCAGTGGAGTTATATCCAACGTAATAAATAAATGTCTTAGGAGGTTAGGTCAGGGTCATTGTCATAATTTGAAATCCACAATTTTAAATCCTTCAATGCCTAAAATATAATTTAAGAAATAATCAAGTAGTCAAATACATTTATTTTCATTGCAAATAAACTTTTTTCATTAAATAATAATGAAATTATAAATCATATTATTAACTTCATTTTTAATTATTATATTTAAAAATATTGTTTTACCTTTTGATAACGATGATTGATTTCCATTATGTTTTCTTCAACATATCCATTCATTGTTTCAGTTTGCAAGTTTAATTCCTCAACGATTGAAGATTTTTTTTCCATCTCGTCTTTAATTCTTCTTATTTCAAATAATGCTTTTTCATCTTGCTCAAAAATATATGGTCTCAGTTGAATCATTTGAATTTCTATTTCACAGAGCCAGTTTTCAACTTCCTGCTCCGTCTTAAGATATTTGACGTAATTTTCTTGACATTTATTGTCGCTGTTGGAAATATTATTATTTATATCATTTGATGAACATTGAAATGTTAAAAACATATAGTTTACACAATACAAGCTTTCGCTTAATTCTTCGGTTGCTTTTGTTATTTTAAGCGAGCTATTGTCACAATTATTGCGAAGAAGATAATTACGGCAATTTTGGAGCTGATTAAACAAGTCCAAAATTCTATAGTTATCTGTATCGTACGCCTAAAATGATAATAAAATAATCAAAATAAATCATATTAGTAATTAGAATATACAAATCAAAAAAGCAGAATAAAGTTATGCTAAAAACATTTTAAATTGTAACATCAAATTTTACTTGGACATTTGCAATAGTGCTATTGTTGTTAGTATGTTGGACGAGCCAAACTTTAATAGCGTCTGCTGTGTTTTCCCATTGACGGTATACTTCTTCGCGGTTTTCTAAAATCGTTTTATACATACGACACTTTTCACGAATTCCATGCCATTTAATTTTGAATCCTTCACTACACTCAAGAAGAACTTTTAAATCTTCTGCATAAGAGCAGGCCTCAGGAGATTTTTGAATTTTTTTACATAGTTCACAAACTGAAACAAAATCCTTTTCTCGGTTAATAAACTCGTTAATCATCACCTAAATGAGAGAGATTATGGGTGATAGAGAAATGTAATAATTGGTTGCAGTTAATTAATTATTTCATTAAGAAAATTCTACCTCAAGGTTTTGTATGTAAATATGGATGCTATCGATGTTGCAAGTATATAGTTCGATCTGTTCAATTCTTTTGGAGATGTCGTGAAGCCATTTCTCTAGCATATTTAACATTTCTTCTAGTAACTTTAATAAAAACAACGCTTCTTCGACTCCTTGGTAAGCAAGACCTAGCTTTTCACATAATGATCGCCATCGATTATCTAGCTCAACAATAAAACAATTAATATCCTCTGAAAATTCACATGCTGGAGCATGACTGATTACTTTTACTGCAATAAGCTTCAGTTGTTCACGAACTTTATCATAACGAATAACATCAGATTTGTATATCTATATTTTATAACAAAATATGTAAATTACATAAAGCTTAGTTTACAAAAAAATTAAAAACATCTTTTTTATTTTGACGTTTATTTGTTATTAAATTCTTTACCTGAAGAGTTCCCCCTCTATGTTTATCTGGACTGACACTTAAAAAAATTGAATTTTCAACTTCTTCTAGCCACGCAAGTATAATTTTTTTTTGATGAGAAAATGATTTTAACCAATCAATGAGTTTTTCAATCTCAACTTTCTTTTTATTTAAAGAAGATTTTGTGGCTGCCCAAAGTTGATTGAAACACGTAAGTTGTTGCTTTAATAATAACTTATCTTCATGCAATGTTAACTTGGATAAGCGTGCCACAAGCGGTTTCAGAGTTGTTTGAGAAGCATGGCGAGCATCGTACTCATTTGATATTTTCTAAACATTACGTTTAATTGAAAAAATATATCGTAAATATATGGCGAGTGTTAAATATCAAATAGGTGCGAGATTGACAACATCCTACTAGATTTTTTCAAAAATTAGTTAAATATTTTACTGTCCTACAGAATATAATTTATCATTCTATTACCTCTTTAAAAATTTTTTGCAAGTGTTACTAGCTTTCTAAAATATTTTACATATAATATAGGCGCGACAAATGATTTTAAACACACATTACGACATATAGATTACAACAAACTACTGCAGTAATTATGTTACCCAGAGAAATTTTTCTGTGACACTTTGTTTTAAAACATGTAACAATAAATTTCAAATATATTTGGTACATTGTTATACCGGCTATAAATGTAATTGATAAAGAAAAAATATCACACCTGTAATATAAAAAACTCATTGTTCAATTGTTTCGCAGACAATTTATGAAGAGGCTGTTTTATTATGTTTTCACTTGATCTTAACCAATATATCAACCCCTTAATATTTTCCGTATATTCTGCCCATATCAACAATACCTCTTTTATGTCATCAAAACACCTGCTTATTAATTTTTCTATTTTAGACCACAATCCTTGTATAGATATAGCCGGATTAATTTTTTCAAGCTCACTTGATTCGTGCATGTCGTTGAATTGTCTCATTAAATCGTTGTATATTTTTTGGTGTTGTAGTTTCTCAGATTTAAGATTCTAAACAAATAATCATTTGAAATTTGTAATAAAATATAAAATTAAAACCAAATTAATAATAAAATAATCACCTTTTAAAAACTATTTGTGATTTTTATAAATAGCAGTAAATAACAAGAGCAAATATAAACTTATAAAAAATAAAAAATGTTGAACTTATTAAATTAAAATTAAAATTTAATTCAATAATTATTTAATAAGTTAGTAAATAAAAGTAAAAATGAGTTTTATAAAAAATTAAAAAAAATAATGCCTTTAATTCTTCAAAACATGCTTTTAAAATAGCAACATTTGACAATTTTATTCGATTTCCCATATCTATTAACTTTGCCTCCGCGTCTTCCAGCCAAATCAAGATTGTTTTAGCTGATTCATCTGCATCAATCAAATGCTCGAATTGTTGCTTATTATTTTGTTCATCCGAAATGAGTATTTGGTTAAGCTTTTTTATTAACAATGACATGCACGATTCCTGTCGACATCGAATATCCGATGCCCATATTGCATCTCTTATCAAATTCATTATATTTTTATTTATTTCGTGTATGCTTTCAGACTTTCGATTAACATTTTCTTTAAAATCCTATATATATATATATATATATATATATATATATATATATATATATATATATATATATATATATATATATATATATATATAGAGAGAGAGAGAGAGAGAGAGAGAGAGAGAGAGAGAGAGAGAGAGAATTATAACGTATTTCTTTTTACGAAATTAATTAAAACATTATAATAAAAATATAAACATTTATAACCTGAACTTTATCAATGGAATGATTTTTCTGGATAAGTTCATTCAATAGCTCAATGTCTGCAAGTATTTTTTTGAATTCATTTTCAAATGACGTCAATAGTTTATTAACTTGTTCAATAATAAGAAGCTCTTTTGTCAACTGTGAATACGTAGTTTCAATTTTCTCAAGACATGTACTCGCTTGCACTTCAATGTAGCTATCTAGGTCGTGTAGTTTTAGTATTTCTTGTAATTCTTTTTGCATTTCAATGCACTGGGGTAAATTAGACTGAAATTATATGTCAATAAATTATCAGTATACAAAAAAGATTGAAAGACAATTCTCAAAAAAGACAATTTATTCTAGATCTTAAGTATTCGTAACCGTCACAATTTGTTAGAGTATATTATCTTCCAAATAAATAGTTAAAAATTAGGTGCCAAAGGTTCAGAACCAGTGATACTCAACATTTCAGCTCCACAAGTATGAAGAAAAAAACTTTTACAACTTTTTGCAAATATAATTTGCAAACTATTACAAATGTTTTTATAAATAAATCTTTTACCCCACTAGTAAAAACAAATAAAATGCGCAGAATTTTTATTTTTTTATTTTCACTTAAACAGGCACGTAGGAACAAAAATTATTGAGGGTAGAGGGGGGGAGGGGAAATGACCCTGCTAGCCCCCCCCCTCTCCCCCTCCCTGGTTGCTACGGGCCTTTTATGTGTCTATGGTTGACCATATCGTTAAAAAAAGCATTTTTTGGCGTAAAAATGTTGTTAAAATTCAGTCGCTCTGATCAACTCTAACAAACTGAAACAAAAATTGGTCTGTGCCTGTGTTTATGTTGAACCTAATTTTGATCTTCCGGATTTTGGGAAATAGAGAGATTGCATACCTCCTAAAGGTTTAATCATAACAAACTAAGTAGAACCACGTTTTAAGTATTAAAAAATAATATGTAAACATTCAGACCACAAACCTGCACAGAAAAAGAATATTCTTCATAGTCAAGTGTTTGAGCCTTACAACTTTCTACAAATGAAGACGTTTTTTCAAAAAGTTTAATGATGGAAGAATAGTTCTGCTTTATTTGACAAAACCTAATAAAAAAACAATAAAAAGTCGTAAAAATAAAAATAAAACAATTAATAAAATGATACTTTATAATGAGAGTAGCAACTTACTTTTTACAAAGAAGATTTGTTTGCTCCTGTAAAACGTCAAATCTTACATTCAACTGGTTTAAACTTATTTCAGCAAAGCCGCTGCTCAAGTTGTTATTAGACAGTAAAGATGTCATACTAGAGGAGAACGTCGAAAATACTGGAAGGTCTGCTTGCAGCTTCTAAATATTAAAAAAAGAGTTTAAAATATGTTTCAAAATTTTTTTTTTTCACCGTAACAACAGGTTAGGTTTTTTACCCTAACAACAAGGGTTTCCTAATGTTTTAAATTAAAATTAGGTCCAGTTCAGGGATCCAGAAGTTCAGGGATTGTTTTGAACAATAATTTAATTTTGATAGTTAATTTTAATGGTTCTTTATGGCGCAAAAAAACCAAAACACAAGCTATGGCAGTGAGTTTGTACGAGTGTTTTAACGAAAGTCCTAAAAAAATTAAACTGCAAAATTTTATTCGCAATAATTTTTAGGGAACTCATTTTTTATTTCCTAAAGATTTCTCTTCTTACAGCTTGCATTTGTTAACTTAATTTTGTTGCTTTATAAATTCCTATCCTTACTTTTCTACTGGGTATACTGAAAATTATCTTGAACTTTTAAAAATATTGCCCGATTTTTGTTTGAATCATTTGCTCGAGTTGCTTCTCCGCATTGCCCTTCTAACAATCACCCCTCCCCAAGCGCGCTACTGCATTACCTTGCAGCTATCTATAACTTTGTCAATATCAGATGATAAATGTGCATGCTTTAGTAAACTGTCATACTCCATTTCTTTTTCGTTAAGCCACTTTTCCAACTCGTTATAATCTAATTCAAACTGGCGTATGGAAGAAACAGCAATTTCAAAATCGTTCTGTTTTTTATCGAGTAGAACGCCAAACTTTCGCATCTCGTCTGAAAGTGTTTCATTTAAAAATAACAGATTGTTTTCGGTATCAGAAAGTTCTGTGCTTGTTAACTTTTCTTTTAAATTTTCTAGATACGCAAGCTTACGAGGTAACTCTAGTTGAATTTCCTGAAAAAATTCATAAATTTAACACTTGTTTTGTTGAGATTTTAGATATTTTACAACAAAATAATACGAGTAATACATTAGTAGTAATAATAATTATAACATTAAAAAGAATAATAGACAAACCTTAAAGCGTTTAGAAAGAAAAGGTAAATCGTATATGTTCGCACCCATTAAACTGCTCAAAAAAAGTTTAGATTCATTCAAAAAATCTTCAACATTTGATAGTTCATTATTCAATGTTCCGTATTCAGAGTAACTTTTTGCTTTAGCTTCGATTTCTAAAAATTTTAACTTAGATGATTTCAGTCGATCATTTAACGCATTGATTCTAGCTCTCGTAAAGTCAGTAATGTTTCGATTTTCAGTTTCAGACTCAACATCGTGTATGCGATTTGAAATATTTCTAATAGCTTCGTCTGTAATCTATGAAAGTATAAAGATGTTTAAAAATTACTTATTTAAAAGTAATAGTAATATAATTCTTTATTTAGATATTTACAGATAGGATGAAGGATCTATCAGGGGCGGTTCCTAATGGGAGAGGTAGAGTCCCATTTTATTTTTTACCAATGTTTTTAATTATTTGTCAATAAATTTAGCAAAATTTTAAAATTGTCAGCTTATTAAATAGGTAGCCATGTTTTCAAAAAGTAAAGAATAGTCAGAAAGACGAACTTAAAGCAAAAAAGAAAAAAAGACACAAAGAAAAAGGTTGTAAAAACACTTTCACAATTTGTTTCTCCCCCCTTCCCACTCGTCATCCTCCTGCCCCCATCCAACTTTTGTTTCTAGAACCACCCCTGAATGAATTCTAAAAAGCTAACTATTTTAATTATTCCATAATAATTCTTGAAAAGCACAGTTTTAATAAAGCTTGAAAAAATGTTATTTATCATTTTCATTGGAAAGCACGTGGAAACAATAAAATTTAAAAACTAAAAAACCATTATTTAGAAAATCCGAATATTTTTAGAGAATTTTATTAGTGAAAATTGAATTTACCTTAAGTTGTTCCTTGTATTCATCGTTATACGCATCGGTAAAAGTCAGATGCTTAATTTTGTCTATTACAGTATTTAACTCATCTAACTGTTTTTCACATTCAATAATAAAATTTTCATGAGCGCGTATATTTTCAAGGTAAATTTTGAGCAAATTCAATCGCTCGTTAATATTTTTGCACAGCAATTCGTACTTATTGTTAATTAGAATAAATTGTTCACGAAAATTATCTTTCATCAACAATGTGTCGTAGTTATCCAATCTATGTATAATTGGTTGCACTTTTTCGAGTTTAAATAAAGAGTCCTAAAAAATAATTTTTAAAAAATAAAATTGTTTTGAAAACTATTTTTCATATTTTATTGAAAACATTCAAAAATTTTCTTACGGAGAGCAGTAATAATCCCTCTTCGATTTCACGAGGAGTAAGAGATACCGGTGACGCGTATATTTCCATTAACTCCTCGCTACTGCTTATGCATTTAGTAACTTCTCGCATAGCCTCGCTGATCTCAACCCATTCTATTTTGTTTTTTACATCTGATAAAACTCTCAGCCTGTCGGATATTTTCGACTGTAATTCAAACCACATAGAGTCTATGACGGAAAGCCTTTCATCGATTACAGAACATGAGTTTTCCAGTATGTGCGTTATAATTTTTTCACGAAGCACTTTAAGTTGTTCTCTAACTTTCTCTTTCTTCCTCAATTGTTTTTTAACTTTCATTAACAACTCACGTTCTAGCGTTATATGTTCAACAGTTATGTGTTCTATGCTAGTATCAACAGTTAACAAAAATCTTGCCACATCTTGCTCAAGATTTTGAGCTAAAAATTTTAACTCTTTCCAATTGGAGGTCAGAGAATCTAGTCTGTTTTTTTCCTTTTCAAGAAGTTTTTCAATACGATTCCAATCATTTGATATTCTGAAAACAAAATCTTGTTTGTTAGCGTCGTTTCGTAAGTCACTAAGACGATTTGTGTCTTCAATCGCCTTGTTTTTAGTAGAGGATTTAACATGGAAACGTCGAGCAATATTTGAGATATTAACTAGCTTTCTCATAGCATCGTCTATACATCGTTCTGGTTTGCTTACTAAATACTCTAAATGCTTCTCGAACTTTAGAAGCCAAGTAATTAAGTGTTTTTGTTGCTTATTTACCGATTTGATAAGTAAAAAAACACAAACGAGAGTTTGAAGTATAGCTAAACACTTTTGATACGCTTTTTCACTTTTTTTAATCATTTTTGCGTATCTTTCATCTAGCTCCGGATTCAATTTTTGTAACTCGAAGTACACATGTTTTAATGGTAACTCTTTTACCTTGATGTTCTGTAAGAATGTCTAAACAACCGAAAAGATAAATTAAAAAAGAAGATATAAAGATAAAATTGAGAAAAACATAAAAATTATGAGTACAATTTGTATTACTCTGTTTTTGTTTTTTTTTAGCAAACAGTGAATTTGAAATTTTTTCTAATCAAAAACAAGAATGACCCGCAGTACAAATTGTAATTCACCTGAAAACGCGTTATGTTTGTTATTATGGTAGTTGAATTGCTAGCAACATCGCTTGCAATATCAACCTGCGCTGATTCTACAGTTTTAATGGTTTCTGATAAATATGTTAAAAAGGATTCCATTTCCTTTTCAAAAAAGGAAATTCCATGGACTAAACTATATTTTTGATTACGACAACTAGACAAGATAAAAAATTCTGGAGATGATATGATAGATGGTATAAATTTATTTTGTGATATTTTTGTTTCTAAGGTATTCACGATATTAGGATCGAATTGCATAATATGGATAACATCGATATAAAGATCTGAGCATTTGTCTACATTAGCACTTTGGTTGAGCGTTATTAATTTAACCATTCTCAAGTTTGTTTCGAGAGTCTAAAAACAGAACAATACATAATTTTAATTTTTTATTTTCAAACCTTATTTATAAACTATGCTATAAATAAAAATAAAATAAAGAATTAAAATATGTAATAAGTCTTACTTTTGCTAAATATGCAAACGTCATTTTTATGGTTTCGCATTTAAAATCGGTCGGTTGCAGTAAAAGCAAATCTTTGGTATCATTAAGGCATGATTCGAGTTCAAAAAGCCATCTTCGACACAAATCGTGGTTTGAAAGTTCTTTTTGTTGACTTTTCAAAAACTTGTAGAGCTCCTCTGTTTTTGAAGCAACTTTATGAAGAATATGCTCCCAAAAATCAAATATATGAGTGTGATGATATTTTAGCGAATCGCTTGGACTTTCTATTTCATCGTAAATCTGCCCAAGTTTTTCTAAAAGACTAACTTGCGAACACATGTCGAATATTAAATACTAAAAAAGTAGAAAGTAACAAAAATATAATACTCATCAACAGTTAAAAAAAAGGCATCGATTATTGGATAACTTATACTCGACTTACTTGGGCTGAATAATAATCATTTTTCAGCTTTTCTACGTCTGTCTTCGTCCTCGTTTTTTCTTCACTTTCTATATTCTCAATTGTCAGTCGGTTATTATATGAAGTCAATAAAAAAAATATCTTGGCATATTGTATTTGGTAATCATCTACCTGTTGCCATGATTCGGCAAAGCCATTAAACTCGTTCAAAGTATTTGATGGAACTCTTTTATTTGATAACTGGTTAGAAACATCTTCGTCTTGAGCAGATCTTAAGCCTTTCGAATTCATACATTCTACATATATAGCTTTGTCTTGCAGATCTTTCCAATAAATGTTTACCACGTCAAGCTTCTCTTGAATTCGATCTTTTAATTCAACACCGTATGCTTCTTGAATTTGTTTACCGATAATGTTTAAAGAATCATTGTTTGATTGCTGAAACCCAAAGTATGAGAGAAGTTTCTAAATAAAAAACGAAACAAAAATGGCTACAAAATAGTAACCTAAAAAAAAACTATTTAAAAAGTTGTTCATTTTAAAACTAAAATTTCACCAACCAGTTTAGTCATAAAATAATTCTCATCGTCCTCTTCGTTTTGCGACTGTATACTCATCATGTTTGAAATATGAATCATGGATTCCATACAAATTTGTGCCTTTTGTTCAAACTCGTTGAGCATTGGATCAGCTAGGTTTTTATAAGGTTGATCTGCAAAATTATTATCGATTGGATAACTTTTTTCTTGCTTCATTAGCAAACTTACATAAAAAGAAGAATCATTAGTGGATAAAAAACTTTGTTCGTCTTCAAAATCTTCAAAATTATTCGATATTTCTTTCGTCTGAACTGCTTTAACTAAACAGTTTGCCATTGATATAGGAGATGATGCTCGGGGCAAAGTAAGCGATTCGTATTTGTATTGCAAAGCTGTCGATTGCTCTTCCGCTGAGTCTGGAATGCATTTCATACTAGTATTTAAGCTGTTTTGCAATTCTAAAGTGGCGTTTTTAAAAAGTTGGTCAATTTCTTGCATTTCCTCTGCTTTCGTAAGTTCTACATATAAATTCATATCTTGATCAGTAATATTGTACGAAGAAACATAAGGTGTAGCAATAGTATCGGCAGAACAAGACACAGTAAAATCCATTGCGATAACGTTCATATTAACTTTAGCATGTTTCAGGTTTTCAATTCTTGAAACTGATTGGTTTAGCGATGGTAAAATCAAAGGACGCCCTAAATCATCACCACATTCAGTATTACATTCATCAACACAAATACTATCAACAGAGTTGGCATAAAAAATGGGCTTTCCGTCAATATTGGAACTCACGTCACTTTTTATACCGACTACTTCATTGCTTAAACAGTCTTCTAATTCTTCAAGAATAGATAAACCGCGACTCTTTTGACTCTCTTTAGATTTATTTAAACAAGATTTGTGTGTCTGCAAACAATTTACATATACACTCTTTGTTGGCTCGCTAAAGTCGTTACTTACAATCGCACTTTCTGTTGGCTCACTAAACTCATTACTTACTATAGAAAAATTGCAACTTTGAACACCTGAATTATCCGGATGTAAACTGACAGAATCTGGCAATTCTGTAACTAATTTTGGAGATAAAGGTTGAGAAACTTGATTGTACATCTGAGCCAGGAGTATTTTATCAAAATCTTCGTGATTGGAATCATCTATGGTTTCAATAACTTTCGTTGATAAATTATTATTTTCTACCATTAAAATAGTTTCCGCACTTGAAATATGATTTTTTAGTGTAGTTTCTTCAGAGTTTTTCTCTTCATTAACGATTTGTTCAAGTTCCGGTAACTTAAGAAAAATATCTATAGGGCAGGTGTGTGGCGATAAATTGTTAAACGAAATTAAGGATTCATCTTGAATTAAATTTAAGGTTTTATTTGTTTTAAAAGACTCAACTGGATCGACATTTTGAAGAGGACCATCATGTTCAGCGTTTATTAGAGATCCAGTCATATCAGGTTTTAGATTTACGTCATTTAAAACTGACGCTAAAACATCTTCAACAAATGTATTAGTTGCTACTTCGAATGATCTTACTTCAATCTCAGAATGATCATGATTAGTTTCATAACAATTTGTTTCCTTATTAGGCTCAAAATATTCTGAAACTTCTACGGAATGAGTAGAAGTTTTATTAGATTTTTGATTAAAATTCTTAAAAGGTTTGTTTAGGCTATTAACTGAATAGGAATCATCATCAGGTTCCATAATAACTTGGTATGTTTTTAGTGTGTACAAAGAATCTGGCAGTATTTCTTTCTCGTGGCATTTAAATTTTATTTCGCTCAAATCTAAATTTTTGTTCAGACTTGGTAAAAATTGTTTTTGATTTTGATTTTCAAAACTTTGATTTTTCTGATTTTCTGGAGTAGAGGGATTGATTCGAAACGAATCAACATCATCTACAAAATCCCAATCCAATGATACATCAGTACATTCTACAGGTATATTTTCGCTATTTACTTCTGTTAGTGGTGTGATAGATACACCTTTATCCAGTGATAAAGGTGCATCTAGTGTTTCTAATGAATCACTAAATGAACTTGGCTCAGAAAATTTACTTTCACTGTTTTCAGCAATATTAATGAAAGAAGCCCAACTGACATTTGAACTATCGTTTAATAGAAGTCCATTATTTTTAGAATTGCAAGATGCCTCCGGTTCATCACAAAAATTGTCTACTAAAACGCAATTCATTTCATAGTCATCATTAGGTATATGAAAAGGTTTGAAGTGAAACGAAGAGACGCCATTTTTGGTGTGTATTGCGTTATTATAGTTTTTTTTTTCGTTCAATGGCGTATTTCTTGGAGATTTACCTTTGTATCCTTTAAAATCTGTTAAACCATGATGTTGGGGCTTTACATTGATTAACTTATGTTGAGCAGGAGAGGAAGAAGCAGAAGAAGAGCGATCACGATTTTTATGTATATTTAGTTTGATAGCTTCTAGAGCACGCTGAATTGTTAATAGCATCTCTGGTGCTAAGTCAAGATTTTTATGCAACTCTACTCTTGACTGAAGACAAAATAACTGTTTGAAGTGAGACTCCAAAAGAGTTTCCGATAACTAAATCAAATTGAAAGTAAAACCATCTTTAAACATATTTACAATTATTTACTCATTAAAAGTAACTTATTTATTATGTATTCATCTACAGAGCTGGATGGTAACGCAATTTGGTCTGCTCCTTTGCTACGCGAAGACTCTCCATTTGGTAACGAGGTTGCGGAAGAAGCAGCGGAATGATACCACGACCGAACCTTGCTTAACTCAAATGAGAGTCAAGTAGAATTAGTTTGGCGCTGGGTTACGCCTTTTACCGAGTTAACGTCCACTACGACGGATCACTTCGAAGTTTATACTGTTATTATTATTCTATTTAATGAAATTTAATAATTAGATACATTTACATTGTTTTTATTTTATATAGTAAACTGTTATATCAATATTAATTATGTTGCAACAATATGCGTTTGCCACTAAAATACCACAAAGAAAAAACCAAACGCATTTTCTCTTTAGGCAATTTTCACTCGAAATTCAAAAATGCTTTTATGCAGTGGCGTCGCTGGGGTTAGTGTCACCCAGCGCAGTAAAATTTTGGTATCCCCCTCTAGACTTTCACTAACAGGGCTAACGACACGGGTTTAGAATTTTTCTAAAAAAAATAAGCTCCTTCAGAAAAAAAGTTTACAACCTCTTGATTGTGAATAAAAGACGAAAGATTTTTGTATGAAATAAAGAAATAGCAGTTATTAATAAAGAATACTGAAAAATCAAAACCTTAAAACTATTGGTTAAGCCAAACGCAAAAATAAATTAACACGAGTATAAGCAGTTCTGTCATATTTGCATTTTTTTTATTTAGTTGACACCCCACTGTGTTAGGTCGTGATGGCGTTACCTGGCGCGGCCCGCACCCCCTAGTGACGCCACTGCTTTCATGTACGTATTACTTAAGTATATCGTGGTTTTATGATCCAAACATCAAAGGCAGTTTTTAATCGGTCAGCTACTAAAATATACGTTCGGAGTAGTTTTTTTTAAAACCCAATATCCTAGTGCGGCAAATTATAACGTTAAAGGAAAAAAATAACAGAAAAAGTGTTATAACTATTTTTGATATGAATGAATATTGCTAGCAACTTTTAAATTTGAAAAAGGTGGCGGAGGGGCGGTCTTGATTTATTCAAAGGATTAAAAGCGCTTCCAAATATTTGAGGCGTCAACGCCCAGCTCTGTTCGTTTTTTATTTAATGTAATATTTTTTTATTAAAAAGTATTACAACATAAGTCGATAGTTAAATTAAATAACGCGTTATTAGTAAATTATTTTCAAATTTACCTCACAAACAGATGAATTCGATATATATGCAACTTCTGTATGTAAGTCTTGGACATTCTGCATATACTCGTCTTCAACAAAAAGTTGCTTAGAAAGCAAATTTTCAAGAAGAGAATCTATTCGGTAGCATAAGAATAAAACATTACCAATAATTTTATCAAATGTTTCTTCGTGTATCTCTAACTGCCTCCAAACGTTTACGAGGATCAACGCGTTATCGATATATTTTTGAACATTTTCGTTAAAGCTCTAAGTAACAAAGTAAATAAAAAATATTTTTTATCCAGTCGTTCAACTTTATTAAACAAAATACTTAAATGTAAACACAATGTAAACAAAATAAAACTATTATCCAGATATTAAAACAAACTTTGTTTTTTTTGTACGTTGTAATTATGCAAACATCTATCGCAACATGAAAAGAAAGCAAAACTTTATAACTAAAGTATTTGTAAACTAGTTTTAATGTTGAAGAAAACAATTTGAAAAATAATGTTCTGATTCTAAATTTGATACGAGTAAAATAAAAATTAAATTACCACTATGTTATCGATTTCATCTTTTTCCACAACAAACAGTGTGTCGTAGGTTTGAAACTGGTCCTCTATTTGTTCAAATGACGCCGAGATTACTATTAAATTTGAATAAATACCAGCAATCATAGGTAGCAAATGTGATTCGCAAAGTTCACAGGCTTCAAAAAGATTTTGTTCAATAGAGTGTAACATTTTTTGAAGGTCTTTTGTTCCACACTTTTTTGATTTTGAACCAAATTCGTGTTTACTGTTGCTAACCTGACGGTACAATGATGATATAATATTCCAGCTCTTAAAAAATATTAAAAAATTATATTTAAAATCATGTTAAACTTCGAGATATTGGTTGTAATATAATGAGATTACATAATTTACTGTAAATGCATATATCGAAAATAATGATAAAATCCAAAATATTAATTGTAATATAACGAGGTTACAGAGTTAACTATAAGAGTCTACTGAGAGAATTATTAATTGTAATATAACGATTTTACAGAATGTAAATGCATACTTGACAAAAGTTGGGTAAATAGCTGATGTTACCATCTTCTAGGGTTTTAAAAAATTCCTTAAGCTCTGCGTTTAAACTTTCAATGCTGCATTTTAATTTACCATACTTCTCAACCTAAAAACATCAAGCATATATATATATATATATATATATATATATATATATATATATATATATATATATATATATATATATATATATATATATATATATATATATATATATATATATATATATATCTATATATATATATATATATATATATATATATATAGTCGCCTGAGGCTGATTCAAATCAACTGCTCACCACACTATATTTAGCGTATAAAAACTGCTTCTCAAAACAAAAGAAAAAAATTAAAAACTTGCGGAATTCAATTATTAATTCTAACTTGAACATTCTTAATAATTTAAAATTTAGCTTTTGTTAACTTTTACCTTCGTATTATTATTTTCGTCAGATATTTTTTCAAAAACATCAAATTCAGTAACTCCTTCGGATAAACATGTAGAGAGATTTTCATAAAGTTGGTCTTGAGCACTGCGTAAGAGGTTGGTAGTTCTTTCAGAGTAATGCATCTTGTTTATTTCCTGTTTAGATTCAAAAACAGTTTTTTTTTTGTTTGAAAAATTAAAAGTTGATTAAAAAAAAACGTTAGTGACTGAAAAAATGTTACTAAAAATAAAAGACCTTTCCGCTTGATGGTTGTAGTGAATAAGGCGGAAGTTTCTCAATATTAAATCGAGCGTGGCTACAGTCGCTTAAATCTGGCTCAAAGATTCCCATTGGCTAAATGAACGGCAAACTATTATTAATTCAAACTCAACACAATATAGACACACACACACATACACACAAAAAAAATTAAAATACTAAAGAATATAAATTCTAAACAGAATAATAACACTAAATCTTATTTTTTATACTATTTAGAAAGCCAATAACAATCCCCGTCCGCGGTTACTAACGTGCTTATAAAAACAATTTTTGACCTCCTCTGAACATTTTTTATATGAAATAATTGTTAACATATATAATTTATAATTTATCATTATGTTTATATGATTCAAATATAATTAGCAGTCTTCAAAATCTTATTCATTTTTCAAACATGCAATAGCGATGCCAAAAAACCTGATGTTTATTTATTTATGAAAAAATAAAAATATAAAACCATAAAAAAACTTTTTTTAAAATTAATTATTATACATTATAAATAAAGTAATACTTAAACTTTAAAAAAATTAAATATTTTTGGAAAAAGCATAATTCAATGATATACTTCGTAAAATAAAATTTTATTTATATTATTTTAAAATTAAATTGGAAGTCTATAACAAACTCCTTTAATTAAGGCGGCCAAATTAAAAATAAAACGCCTTGAAACTCAATATACTTTGGCGTATTAAATGTTTAAAAATGTTATAAATTAAATATCCTTTCTTAATAAATGTTTAATTTGATGTTTTTCACATTAAAAAAAAACTGTAAACAAACCTTTCGAATTTAAGTTACAATAAGTAGTTACTTATTGTTACTTAAAACCACATCATGTTTAATTGATTATTATTTTAACTGACTTCTTTTTATTATATTGATAATAATTTCAAATAAGTTTTCTAAAACCGGGTGTTATTACTTCCTAACAGCACTGCCTCAAATTTAATCTGAAAATTTAGTCATCATTTTACGGGATAAATCGTTATAAATTGATTTTGATATATATATATATATATATATATATATATATATATATATATATATATATATATATATATATATATATATATATATATATATATATATATATATATATATTATATATATATTTCTTTTTATTCTTAAAAAAAAACTTTAAATTCTAAGCTTTGGTTCAAGCAAAATATTCTCTGCGTAACAACGTTTTACCTATGAAATGCAAAAATTCAAAGTTAGAGAAAAAAGCACGGAAATGCAAATCTCATAATTTGCGGCACAGTAGAAAATAAGTTGCACTTATTTTATTAACTGCAAAAAAATAGTGCGAAATTCAAAACAACATTTGAAAAATTGTCATCCTTTTATAAACATTTTCAAAAAAATTTACAAAAATCAAACGATGGCTTTTTATTTTAAAGATGTGGTTAAATAGCCACGTTAATATTTTTAAACATAAAAAAAAAAAAAGAAAACACAAACTTATTGTAACTATGCGTAACGCTAACGCGATTCATGCGCAATCTGAGATGACTTACTACTCGTAAATAACAGTAATGCTCAATCAAAATGTTACATTGGGCTAACTTAACACCTACAATTTAATACAAAAGGCGGCCCAATGTAATAACATAACGTAACGCCAACAATAAAGGGTCAACAATAAAGCTTTTTTAGCCATATTGTTTTAACCGCCTTAATCTATTTCGCTGCGCTGACCCATAGCAAATGCGTTAAGACAACTAAGTTATGGAGCTCGAGTAAAAAAAAAAGATTTATAAGTTTTTTTAAATTTAAAGCTTTCTAAAATGTTTAGCTTAGGCTTATTCAAGTTTAGAGTTCTTAGTCTCAGTGGCTCAAAGAAAAGTTATTTTCTATTTTTCAGTTTATAGGAAAAAAATGAAAATTTTACATTTTTGCATGTAGGGGAGAGTTGCCTTAATTAGAACACTTAAGGAATAAATAATTATTACCCAAAGATGGTTTAACAATGAAAACATTTATGGTTTGATTAATACAAACAGACATACTATACTTTTAATCACAATTTGACTTAATTGATTGCATTGTTATTGGAAATAAATTTGTTTTTGCAAAGTTACTATTTTGTTCCAATCAAGGCAACTCGTTCCCTAAATTGGAACACTTTGATTCCTTAATCAGAATCTGTACAATCAACAAAATTTGTAAAAAATAGATTTCATCTTTAGAGTAAAATTTATGCAGTTAATTCAAAACTTATAATATAGGATTAGTATTACCCTAACAAATTTAAAGTCTACAAACAAAAAATTGTATAAAACTTCAATTATTATGACGTTCTCTTAGTTTTTTATTAAAAAGCACTAAATAAAGTATTATTTTTAAAGTTTATGGTTGTTACTAAGTATTTTTTTAATTGCACTCGAACTATTTTTACAACCCTTTGATTCTATTACTGATTAGGTAAGGAAAATGTTAATGTTCCAATCAAGGAAACTGGACTATTTTGTTATATCACTACAATAATATGCTTGCAGCAACTTATAAGATAAGATTATATAGTTATTTTGTTTTTTAAATCCCATCGAAATAAACACAAATAACGGTATAACCTATAGCACCATATTTTACCCAGCGCAATCAATATAGTGTGAACACAAAATTAGATCACTGAAAAAATATGACAAAAAAACTTTAAATCAATGGTGCAAACGCATTTTTTGAGGAATAACTTTCAAAATGTGTCAAAACGTAGAAAATAATGCGATTTACTAAAAAAATGCAAAATATAGCCATAATTCATTTTTTTTCAAAAATAAATGCAAGTGTTCCAATGAAGGCGCTGTTCTAATTTCGGTAACTCTCCCCTACTTTTTTGATTTATGAAGCTTAAGTTAACTATTTTGAAAAAAAAGATGATATTTTCAAATTGAACAATAAAATCAAAAAAATTATAGACTTGATCTTAAAAGCAAAACACGGGTTTATAGTCTCAGTTCCGTTCCGTAAATTATCACAAAATCGTTTAGTAAGATAAATATTTCGAACTTAAGTTAGTGATAAATTTAGCTTGGAAAGATATTTAGCGTTAAAAAATTTTTATATCAAAGTAATATCAATATATCATATTATGCTTCTCAAATTTTTTCTCAAATCTTCTCAAATTCTAGAAATGTTAACTTTTCTAAACAATTTTGAGATAATTTGTGGAACGGAACTGAGACTGTATTGTTTAAATAAATTTTTTTTTATAAATATTGTTTATTATAATACAACTTTCATATGAGGAGTCCATTCACTAAACTGATTTCGAGAAAACATCAAAAAACTAAACTACTCTTAGTTGCGCACCAAAAAAATTGATATTTTTTTGTTCCTTTTTAGGACCAAAATTTTTTTAATTGGTCAAATTTCTAAATACATGATAGATTTCAGTATATAAAATATGAAAATAGAATTAAATCAAATTTTTTACTTTTGTGACTTTTTGCGCGTTCTGCAGATGGGTTCCTCATATAATGTAACTAAACGTATAACCAGTGCCGTGGTTAGTGGATCGGAGGCCCGGTCTTTGGGGCCCAAAATTTTAAAAAAATTTAAATTTGCAAAAAGGCCCTCTAAATTCGATTGATATCCCAAATTGGGAGCGTGGGGTAGCCACGGCTCTGTGTATAATTAATAGAACCTAGTATTTATTATTCAAAAGAGAGCAAACAATAAAACCAAGGCTCTTAATATTCAAAGTAAATAAGTAGATAAATTACGTTTTGACTTGAGTTAAAGGGCATGGTTTACAAAAGAGTTAAAAAGATGAATAAAAAAAAATTAAAAGCGCGAAACAAGGAGCTGTATTTTTTTTTAAAATATTTTTTTAAAGCTTTAAATTTTTTTAAAAATAATGCAAGAAGACATTAACTATTAAAAAAAAAATTCTTAAACCCTGTTATCGATACAATATAAACATAATTCAGACTTTATTTATAATACTTTATACGGACACATTTATCGCAAAAGATTTAATTCTCGACTTGCAGGAAACCATTTTTTTAGGCAGTCCTATAAAACAAAAAGTAAAGCAAAAGTAACACTGTCAATAAAAAATACCTCAAAATCTTCATTTGTTTGGAAAATCAATTCGTGAGAATTGTCAAACAACGCACCGACTTTAAAAGCCGATTCAAATGAATTTTCCTCAAAACTGTTTGCAATTGATTCGAATATAGAATTGGTAAAACCTTCTTTTCTCGTGCTGCTTCTTCTTGCATCATTTTTATACACTTTTTTTTCACAATTATCAAAATCAAGTTTATATCTAAGATTAAAATGTTTGTTACAATTAGAAGAATAAAATGAAATCGAATCTCCCTCATCAATTATTTGTTTCTTATTCGGAGAACATAAAAACTCCGAATCATCGCCAAATACTACGCTAGTATCTTGCACAATAATTTTATCTTCAAAATCATAAAAAAAAAAATCTTCTTCCAAGTCAGTTCCAAATGTAATATCTAATTCATTATCAATTGAACTTAGACGTTCCTTCGTATGTTGAACCAAATAATGGTCTGTAGCGTCTGGTATGTCTTCTATTTCAAAGAATTTGGTTATTTCATTTTTACACTGATTCTGAACTATTTCTAAATCTTCCTGCATCAAAATGTTATTACAGGAAGCATCTTTTAACTCGCTCTCACAAGCTCGTTGGGATATCGTTAAGGTACAGCAATGCGGAAGAATGTTGTTATTGGATTGCGTACCGTACTCTTTAAAACAGCTATCCGCATTTTTAATTTTGTGCCGGCGCATATATAAGCTATCATTGCACTTTAGTAGTTCAGCGAATGCTAATGAAGCATTTATAATCGCTTCTTTAACAATACAAACTTCTTGCACTGTAACAAGTGCTTTTTTATCATCCAATGAAAGACTATCAACAACACGGTTAATCTTTTCTGCTTGGGATAAAATATCACGCACAGAATGTTTTAAAGAATAAACATTGTTTAGACTACTTTCCCGCTCATGCATTTTAGACAAGTCAATTCCAATATAATCAATTACTTGATTAAGAAAAATAAAAATCGTTTGTTTTTCACTAAGGCTTTCCTTGTTTGCTATGTTTAATATTTCATTACACTGCAGAACTCCATTAATGTAACATTGGGCATGTTCTTGCTTAACGCAGGGTAACTCCGTTAAAACGCTGAATTCTTTTTTAAATAAATGATGCACATAAGTATTGCCGTCTTTTTGTGACCGGTAAAGTTGTAAAAGTTTGTTTACTTCATTCAAAAAGTTCTCTTTGCAAAAAATGCTTTTATTTTGAAGTAACCATGCTTGAATACATACCACATCTGCTGCAAAACCATCTGCGAATTTCTGAATGAGAGTTTTAGTGCCGAGTAACTCGTTTATTTGAATGCTGTTGTATTTATTCGAGTTTAATCCACAAGAAAATTGTTCTCTTTGATTTCCTGAAAATTTAAAATCTTTTTTATTTTTTATTTCTTCAAAATCTAATTTTTTATTTTTATGCTTTTTTAAGCATATGCAGCTATTTATGATTTCAAATGCACAATAACTTTTAATTGTATTTGGACCACACATAGTTGTGATCGGAAATAATGTATCCAGGTCCAACTGTCTAATAAATGTTTTCTTTAACAGTTTTAATTTAAATGCAAATTTTTGATTCTTTGTAAAATGAGATTGACTGTGGTGAATCGATAAACTATATGTGTCAATAAAAGGTCGACTGCGGTAAGCCAATAAATTGCATGTGTCAGTAAAGCCTGCATAACAATTAATAAGTCTCTTTTTAGTTTCGGGTAAAAATTGAAAAAATTCTTTTATGAATAAATGGAAATGTTTTATTTTGCAAGCGCATTCAAATGTTACGAAAGATTTTTTGCAAGAAATATCATTTTTTTGTATACGTGTTTGATTTTTTACATTCGGAAATCTATTATTTTTTTCATTATGAAAAACCGATTTAGATATTCTAACACGATGTTTCACGCGCTCTTCATTAATACCGTATTTCTTTTCGTGTAAATCTAAAACAATATTTTTATGTTGTTCTTCCCATTCCCAGTGTCGAAAAAATAGTAAACATTCGCTTGACTCACTTTCCCAGTGTCGACAAAATAGTAAACATTCGCTTGACTCACTTAGCAACGCATTTATCTTAGGCATTTTTTTATCACATGTAGCTTGATTATTATCTGCGTCATCGTTCATGTAAACACCTACTGCATGATTGTCGTTGGTATCAGCGACAACTTGAACAACTTGTGTATCCTTTATGTATTCTGGTAAATTATTATTGATTAAATTTTTAATACATTTATTATTAAACATGAAATATTTACTTTTAGGGTTCATAGAGTTTTCGACTTTTTGACTGCTGACACAGTTTCGCAGTACACAATTTTCGTAGATTGCTTCTGTACGAATGAAAATAAGTTGTAACATTTTAACTTTATCGCGTACTTTTTTTTTTTTAATCGCCACTTGACTTGTTTCTGTTCTGGGAACAACAAACGACATACTTAACAACATATTTATAAAATCTAATTGACCGTTAAATTTTTTTTTCATTTTCCTTAAAAGATTTAAGGAAGATTTGAAATATGATATATTTCTTAGAACGTTCTCGATTAGATCAAAATTAAAAAATAGAGAATCTGTAGCCGCATGAAAAAAAATTAAACGTTCGCGATGGAAATCGAACTGTTGAAGAATGCATTCCATTACACTAGCAGTGTTACACAGTGACGTATCACATTCAGCTAATAAACCAAACAAAATACTAGAATTTTGTTTTGGTAATGATACTCCCTCAATTTGAGTACTGATAGACTTTAAAAAAGATCTTTTACTGTTTACCATATCTTTTAGGCCATCAAAGTCTTTAAAATAGCGTTCTACTAAACCTTGCGCAGTCAATAGCCCCATAACTTTTACATCGTTCAAGAACGTTTTTAAACGATTTTTGATAAAGCTATAAAACCGTTCAATAATTTCCGAAGTTTCAGTTTGACGTAAATAAATATATCTCAAATGAACAATAAAAAATATTTTCTCATCAAGATATATAGAACTACAATACTTATTTGATTCCACTTTTACATTTTTTATGTTGTTGATGGCGCTTGAAACTTTATTTTGTAAATTATTTCTATACTGTTTAAACGTTGTATATCGATTTAATGTAACTTTTAAATCTTGAATTCCTTTTTTATAAAAGATTCTTATTCTATTCAAAAAAACATCCGTCGCATCGAACTCTTCAACAAACCTTTCTTTTAGTGTAAAAAATCTTTTCAGAGATTTCCTTTTTAAACTGTCTTGTGGACTCATAAAACAAAACTCTTCAATGAATCTCAAATCAAAATCTTCATTCATTCGATCTTTTGCTATCTCCAAACTTTTTTCTGCTCGTTCAAACTTTAATCTTTTTTCATAGAGAAGAGTTCGATCATTAACAATATCTTGCTTGGATCTCAAAACATGTTTTTTACATTTATATAGTAGTTGATTGTTTTTGCCTCGATCACAGGATTTGATATTCTTGCCTTGAGCGCAAATGTTAAAATTGAAAAAAAGTTTTCTGATGTCATCAAAGCTGTTGTTTAAAAATAAGTGTAACATGATTGATTCGCAGAAAATTTTATTACTTCCAATAATTATAAAAAAGTTATTTGTTATCAGATCATTAATTAAAATGCATTTTACAGTTTTAAAAATATAAAACATCTCTGGTTCTCCTTGAAAAGTTTTTGTCTTTCTCATTTTTAGTAATTCGTAATTTCTAATGAATAGTGGGTCAAACCTGGAAAAATCAAAACATTCGTTCAGTTTAGAAGTTTCATTTATATGAAGAAATAATTTTCCATTAGAGAAAGTTTTGAGTTTGCTTTTAACTTTATCTCGCATTTTATTATTTACTTCACGCACCTCAGTTAAAATAATTAATTCATTGCCAATAAAATTGTTTTTTTTGGTTGCTGTTTGATCAGTATGATAGCAATGATTACATATTACGCTGTCAAGAATTTTTTTCATATTATTGACATAATCATCATTTACCATGTGACAAACTTTTGAAAGATTATGGTTATAAAAGTTCTTTTCGTAATTAATATTACTTTGTAAAAAAAAATAGTTATTTGTGTAAAGTGCAAAACCTTGAAAATATAATTTTTTAGTTAGCAAATCAGTCAAAATAAAGAATGTTTTTTTTGCATTAGTTAAAATCACATCCAAATCGGCTCGGTCTCGTTCAGGAAGACACAAAAGTGTATCTTTTACATACAACTTAACTAAACACTGAATATTATATTTATATTTAAGGAGATATTTAATAAACAAATTAACATCACAACCTGATTCACACAATATGAATAGTCTTTCAGCCATCTTCAAACTTTTTTTTGCGACCCATTTAAAATGCTCTTCAAATTCTAACAAGACAGAAATTTTTTTATTTTTGATTATAACAGTATCCTCTATCTCATGTGTTTTATTAATGCAACTTTGAACAAAACCTGACAACATTGAACTTTCATACGGGGGTAATGCACCTTTAAATTCCTTACTTAAACACACTATCTTGTCCAATTTCGTCCTGTGATCAGTAATAGCTAAGGAAACAGTTCTTAAAACAACTTTTAAAGTGGCAAGACTTCTGAAATCTTCATATTCAACATTCAAGTATTGCTCCGACATGTCTATCTCTTCCAAGTAGTCTTCAACAAATTCTTTTAGGTAGGCAAGTAACTTTATGTTGAATTGAACAGTATTTTTTGCAATCTTTAACTCGGCTAGTTTTTTATCTATAGAAAGTAGAATAGTTGTAACAATTTCCTGTAAACCTTCTGCGTAGTCTGAGAAAATATCGAAGGTAACTAATTCACCTAAAGTATTATGTAGATTAATTTTTAAAAAGCAAAACATTTTAATTTGCATAGCTATATCGTCAGCTTGTTTTTTGAAACATTCCCAAAATTGCGGACCAGGTAAAAGTAATTGTTGAACACTTTGTAGGTGTATGCATGATTCTAATAAGAACTTCATTTTTTCGTGACGATGCAAACAAATATGATAAAGCTCTTTGATTTCGGTAACGCAGGTTATGTATTCTAGGTATTTATTCGAAGAGCGCGAATCCAATATGTTACTTTTCTGGATCAAATCATTGCTTGTCTCAATCAACTTAATAGTATTACTTACTTCATTAAGGGTTGCTTGGTTTAAGTTGAATATTCTTTCTGCATTTTTTAAAGATTTATAATCTAATTGATACTGAGGCATAGCTTCAAGTTTTTTCATGACATTGGATTTCCAAACGGATATCATACTCTTCAACTTTTTATCTAAAGATCTGCTAACGCAATAATCAGTAATAAAGCAAGGAATCATCAAATCATGATCTTTTATTTTACCTAAAGACGTGTTTAATTTTAATTTTTGATTGCAAATCATTAAGTGTCTTGCACTGATGTTGTTTGTTATATACCTAAAGATTGCCCGGTTAAGCAATTCTTTCAACAAGAGAGTATGATACCCACACTCTGAAATCATTTCTGAACATGTGCTATATAGTTCGATCGTTTTACATTTTCTTGTTGGAACAATCTCAATCAAAAAATTTTTAGATTTTTTTAAACTACTGATATCAGAGTAATCACTTCGGTTATTAAAACTGTCCATTTCGTCATTGACAATTTTCAGTAAAATAATATTCTCTTCAGGCAGGCTTGATTCATTTAATTTCAAAATAAAATTGAATATAGAATTATGTATACCACTGTGAATTTTAGCCAACCGCTAGTTAAGAAAAATAAAAATAAAAGCATTACATGCAATAAGCAATTTTTTAAAATGTATTTTAAAAGATTTTGATAGAAAAAATACCTTAGGCATTACACGATTCTCTGAATACAGCAAAAACGTTGCGCACGCATGTTAAATGTCATACGCAAATTTAGTGGAGGTAAACAAAGATTTTGATATTTTGAGTTGAAGTGCTGCGAGAAAGTTAAAGATAAAAGGAAAATGTCTATTCATTGTCAAGTAAATGATTGTAAAAATGGTCAATATAGACATAAAATGGAGACAACTTTATGATTTTCATAAACAACTTTATGATTTTCAAAGAGACATGAAGCAAATTATGCTTATAAACTATATACGTTTCTTATACTTAAGGAATGTAATTATTATGCATTATTTTCATCTTTCTTATATATAAAAAAGATAGCAATAAACTGTTAAATAAATTTAAAAATAACATATTTTATTGACCTATACACTAATGTTTTCCTACACACTAATAATTTTAGTGAAATCACCTTCATGAGATTATTTCTCAAGACTAAAAATACTGTCAGAGCTTCAGCGGATATCATTTAAAATCATGTCAAGTCATATGATTAAAAAAAGCTGCATCTTCGATACTCAAAATCTGACAATTATATTGAGAAACTACCTTTAGCATTAGTCGATTTGGTTTTTTACCTACACATGTCAATTAACATGCGGGCGCAACGTTAAATTGTATTCAGAGAATCGCGTATTAAAAACATTTAGAACCGCTTATAACTCAATTATTTATTACTTCTTCACTTATTGTAAATTTTTGCCATAAATTCAAAAATTTGATACTTTTTTTAAACTAAATCTAAATTTTGTTTGAAATTATAAATACTTGAATTTTCATCTAGAAAAAGGTTATTACAAAACAAAACACATTTCTTAGTTAAAAACTTTTAGTCTAAAACCTTAAAAGATATTAAAAAATATATATATATTCATTAGATTAAGTTACCTTAGCCCTTTCAAATTGCAATGTTGCATGACTAGGGCTTATATGAAACTTATGTAGTATCTTCAATGGGCTATTCATGAACTTCACAAAAAACAATACATAAAAATTGGAACAGTAACTCTTTCTGTTTTTAATAGACAACGGTTTAATATCTTGTGCGACGTTAAAGACAAATATACTTTCGTTCGCTTTAAAAGTTTTTGAACAACCTGGAAATATATTTATGTCGTTTTGAAAATACTCAGAATATTTTTCTCGATTGTTTTCGCCACTCGTTTTATCAATACAGAAATTATCATCACAATACTCAAAATGAAAGTGAAATTCATTAACAGAGCGGCCAATACATTTTATTTCTTGACTGAATTTCTGAATAGGTAACATTAAACTGTTAAGAAAATTATGAGAACCGTAAAATGGATCACTCAACGCATTTGGAAATTCAGTAATTGTATTTTGATTATTTCTTCTAGTGATTTTTTTAAATGCAAAACCACAATGCAGGATGGAATTCAACTTTTCGTTCCAAGATATACCAATACAGTTAAAAAGCGCATTCTGATTTGCAGAAAGCGAAACAAATCAGTGTAAATATTTGTATGAAAATTTTCTATTTTATTCTCGTTTACTTAATAAAGTTTTTTAAAATTTATAAAGAATGCAAGATGTTGCTATAAAAAAGAAAGATGTTACTGCCGGTTTTCATTCTAATTGCAAAAAAAGCAAAAAGAAACAACAAACAAATAAATTATTTAATTCTTAAAAAAAAAATTGTTTATCAAAGTGAACAAAAAGGAAAAGCGAAATCAATTAAAAAAAATTTTGTTTAAAGAAAACATTTAAAACAATTTTAAATCCCGCCATCATGAAACAGCCTATCCTTTGATATAACTTTATTCCCTTAGCCATGTTGAAGTGAGATTTTCCATTTGGTCAATTCATTTTCTTCTAATATTTTGTATTTAAAGTTGAATTTATATCGTAATGATATATATAATACACTACAACAAATTTAAAAAATAAAATCACTGCCTCACGGGTACAATAGAACGGCTTTGGATACCGCGTTTGAAAGAAAGCCATTTCATTTTGGCAATAGTAGTATCTTATGACTAGCCAATTTTAATTAGTAAATTATAAGAACCAATTAAGCCAATTTTTGCTTGTTATCAAATTTATTTATAATTGAAGGTCTTTTTTTTTAAATAAAATAACGTCCTAAAGAGAAAAATCCAGATTATTGTTTTAAACGTTACGTCTACAAAAAAGCTTTTTTGTTGATATTTTTTTATAGCTAAAAGTAAAGAAACAACTCACTTGTTCCGTTTAAAAAACGCCCCTAAAAATTTAAACCAATCCTTTTATATCAGTCGCTTTATTCATAGTTTTGTAGTCATCACTTATATGTCACTCAAAATATTTTATTCAAATAATCGATGACGTATTTACACTTTTTAATTCAAGCTTTATATTTTCAGTCAATGTGTTTATACTTATAAATTCAATCATAATGTCTATAATTGTATACAATCATAGACATTAGGATTTACTTGTTAAGAATTAAGAGTATACTCTTAATTCTTACCAAGTTAAACAAGTAAAAAAAAAGAAGATGAAATGACCAGAACTAGATACTAAAAATAGTATCAATATACGGTTATTGGACTCTGACCGGGTAGCAGAAATATAAAAATGCTGGGTGTCAGGCTTGGATTATTTTACCGGTTTTTCTGAGTTTTCAGAATATATAGATATGCTGGGTACTCGGCTTGGACCCGGAAAACCGGGACCGATCCGCATCTTGAACAAAAGACTGTAAAGAATATATATTTTATTTATTTAAAAGCTACATTTACATTTTCAGCTATTGCAGCAGTTTTTTTTTTATGGAATTACATTTTTTTTATGCAGCAGTTATTTTTTTACTTTTAAACATAGAAAATTTCAAACAAACTAAACGAAATTTAAATATCAAAATTTTAAAAATGATAAAATTTATTTAAAAAATTAAGAATATTGGAAAAAATTTACTTTCGATTTATGACATAAAAAGCATCATTTTGTAATTGAAAAAAAAATTTTTTTTTTCTCAAGACACTTTTAATATCTTTTTTTTTTTATGTTTATACAACTTTTTTTTTGTTTTTGGTTATTTTAAAACCTAGGTTGACGAAACTTATTTTAATATTAGGAGGCAGCCGTCAAATATTAGATGGCTTTGAGGGAACCTAAATGCGACTTTGCTGAATGAGTAGTCACGCAAGATTGAGTTTTTGTTGACGAAAAAAGCAATAACAGCTGGCTTGAGCAGCAACTCAAATGTAACAACAGTATTTTATGCAAGTACGAACAAAGGTAGAGGAAAACGAACAGAGGTAGAATAGCAACAATGTGTTAGCGGTGTAGTGATAGAGCGCTAGCCTCATAAGCAAGAAGTTCTGAGTTCAATCCCCACCTCGTCTCTAGTGGTACCGCGCTCAACTTGTTTCTCCGTGCAGCGGCCTTGTTCGTCAAAGTTCGTGTTTCGGAGTTATAGAGTTGAGAGAGGGTTGTAACCACGACTAAAAGCAGCCACCTCGACTATAGCGGCTTTATTGAAATAAATAAAAAATTATTAGCATTTAACTGAGATTTGTTTGGGTTAAACACCAACTGCAAACCCAAAGCTGTAACAGAATAAAGATCACATTTAAGATCAAATATTGATAACTTTTTTTGTAAATAATGGAGTATATATTTATTTTATCAGCAAGTAGAGCAAAATTAGAGGTAAGATAATCAGGCAGGTCACTAATATAGATGAAAAAAAATAAAAGACCAACGAAAAAAAATTTGAAGTTTCTGGAACTGAAGAAAAGTGCTGTTCATCAAGAACAGAAAGGAAGAGGTTAGAAAGGAATGATTTAATAATTTGCAACTTCCGATGACATATCACTTGAAGCAAACTTATGGAAAAGACCAACATGTCAGACTTTAAATTGCCTCACCACTTCCATATAATGCACGAAAAAACCATTTTGTTACAACGGTTAACAAGTCAGTAATAGAACTCTTTCTAATTGTCGGAGAGTGAGTTGTGAGACTCAATGCGAGATATTCAACGTTCAATTAACAAATCAAAGACTTTGCTAATAATCGTAAGACTTTGCTAATAATCGTAAGTACTGACTGATTAACAGTAATTAAAGGTAATCGTAAGAAAACTGACTGATTAATAGAATTAAAGATAATCGTAAGAATACTGACTGATTATCAGTAATTAAAGATAATCGTAAGAATACTGATTAGGCAATAGTTAGAGGGATCAGAGTTTTTAAAAATTAGAATTACAGGTGTAGTTTTCCAGCAGGCAGGAAAATAGTTTAAAGAGTAATGAATTCTGGAGATTTTAGCAAAAAACTGTGACAGAAACGTTGAATATTTTATTACAAACTGAAAATAATAACTCAAAGACTTTGCTTATAATAGTAAGAAGAATGATCAGACAATAGTTAGAAGGGTCAGAACGATTTTCAGAGTCTATTAAAATTGGAATCACCAAAGCGGTTTTCCAGAAATAACTTTAGTTATTTCTAAAGTTATATCTACTTTAATGCAGAAATAACTTTAGCATTAGAAGCAGAAGTGATTTAGATGTCTAAAATAAGATTAACCTGTTTCTTTACGATGAAAAAAAGAGTGTGCTAAGGATTAACCTGTTCTTTTGGAAATTAATGACGCGTAAAAATTCCAGCAACTAAAAAGGGTTAAATGTTAATTTAATGCCATATAAAATTAAATATTTTGCAAACCCATTTTTTGGAACAAAAAGATGTGCTAATACAAAGCACTGTTATTAATAGCCTAAACAATTGGTGAAAAGTTAGATATATTATTGAAGGAAAAATAAATATGAGTGTGGGAAATTCAAAAGACATGGGGCTATTCTTAGAACAAGAAGTATAAAGAGAAATGTCTATGCATAATTTCAATTTAATTTTATGCAATCTTTGCATTAAAT